TATATTATATTATTATATATATAACATATATAATATAAAAAATATAATAGAAGGTTAGAAGTAAGAAATAATTTAATAATTTTAATCTTCGTTGTTATATTTTGTCCGGACAACACCGGACTAACCTGCTAAACGATAAAAAGGAGTATTTAAACTAGATTATGATCTAGTAATTCTAGAAGGAACTTTCAACGTGAGTCAGTAATTGTTTATGACGCCATTAAAATACTTATAAGTTAAAATTCGGTCGAAATATTTCTTTAGTAAAGATGCCATTGCCCGGATTGGCAAGCAATAATCTTTTAAAGACTGGAAATTGGTAAAAAAAAAAATCGTTCTTAGAACAGTTTTTGATGACATGTGTTTACAAAAGCGCCATAAAATTTCCTGGCGAATTGCGATAGAATTTGTTATTTTTTCTATATGACTTAAAGATTAATTTATTGTCAAACATGATCCTCAGATCATTAAACGAAATTACACAATTTAGAATATAATTATAAATGTAAAAAAGTAAAAGTGGCGGATCTCTAATCAGAGAGAAACACATCACTACGGTTTCAGGAATATTGATTTTTAAAAATAAATATACGATAGGTGTTTTTTTACTCGTGCATTGGAAACTTAAATAATTTGTTATACATCAGGAAAAATAAATTATGCGAATAACTTTTAGTCATTTGAATAATAGTTTAAACTATTTTAAAAAAATTATTATCTGTATTAATTTGACAATTCCGATTATTAATAATCATAGATTAAAAGAATATATGTACAGAAAGCAGAAAAATACAAAGTAATGTAAGTTTATATCATACGATTGACGTTATATATGTCGCAGTCGGATAGTTCAGTTACTTTACAAAGCATCTAGCCATTCGATTAAATTTAATTTCATAAAAATTTTACATAATATAAAACGTACAGACTTTTTAAACTGTTTAACTTTTGTGTGCAGAAATGTAAACATATTAATATAAAGAATTATTTGAATAATTAATTATGTAAAATTTATGGCAAATGTTTATATAAATTTATCAATTTATTCTCGGTTGCATCTTAATAATATTCTCTAACTTCTAAAATAAATGAAATAAAATTACAAAATTTTATTTAATTTATTTTATATTAATTTCATATATTTTTAAATAAATCTAATTTTTACATAAACACTTATATTAATTATTAAAATATAAAAGATTTTAAGCCAATAAAGTATAAAATCTTATAATTCACAGTTTCAACATAACTATTTTAATATAAAGTCGTTAAATTCAAATGAGCACATGAAATAAATTATGCGTAACTTAATACAGTATGTGAATAAAAGTTAATTTATTATATTATAATTTTTAAAACGTATAAATTAATTGATTAAATTTATTTATTTAGCAATTCATGCAACAATAGAACTGCAAAGATTAGCTACGAAATACGAAATTGCTATACTTTCTATTCAGAGATTTCCTTTTTCCGACTCAAAATCTCTCAATATAACACCACAATTGAATGCTATTAAGGTAAGAATTAAATCTACGCATTTATAAATTTAAGTGTTTGATATATAATTTGACATACAATTGTTTATTATTATAGAAATGCAAGTATAAATTAATCCAGTAGTTTTCAACTGGATAATAAACTGCTAAAGTAAATATAACACTTTTTTACTAAAAGTACGATGTACAGGTATTCGTTCATTTCAATTTATTTCTCTAGGCGCAAATTCCATCTAACGTTATAAGTTTATAACGTACGGTAAATATAACGTAAAATACATCGTGCTCAAACCCTATAATATCTCTCCATTGATAAATAGGCTGCTGCAAGAAAATTTTTTAAGTTAGAAGTGTCATTATTAGAAAAGATTGAAAAGCACTGGATTAATCTAAGTTAATTGATTACAATCATTTTAAAAATTATAGTAACTTATATGTTAAAATTTTTATTAAAATTTATCGCGACTAAGTTCTGGTGACTCTTTAACTCTCATTAAGGAAAAGGAAGTCAGAATAATAATTCTTTATTGTGATATAACGATAAGTAAAACTGTTATAAACCAAGCTGATCGCATGAACATGTTTCGTTCTGGATGGACCTGGCTCGTCATGGATAGCATTACATCACACGTAAGTCTATATCTTTTAATTTTATAACTTACATAACATTGCAGAAAGACTTTAAGTCACTTATTATTTTATATTATTATATTTAAAGATTAACAAAATAACTATCTAATAAATAATAATTAATATTTGTTGGCAGAGTTTTGAATACTTATCAAACGATGACGGATACGTACCATCTTCTTTAGTCGGATTAATAGGAACGGCATTTGTGGTTCCCGACACTATTTTATATTTTAAATTAGTGAATCAATTAAAAAAGAAAAGTTTAGGAAATCAATTAGAGAATGAGGTAAATTAACCATTGAAATTATTTTACTCATTTAAACCTTTATATTTATGAATTAATTAAAATCATTTTGCAGCAAGCTTTCACTCGTGTGTATGATGCAGTGTTAGCAATTGCCAACGGACTTCACAAAATTCTTTACGAAGAGAAAGTATCTTTCGANTAATGAATATCATTTTGCAGCAAGCTTTCACTCGTGTGTATGATGCAGTGTTAGCAATTGCCAACGGACTTCACAAAATTCTTTACGAAGAGAAAGTATCTTTCGAACTTCCTACTTTCCAAAAAGGAAGTTGCGCAGATTCTGTCAATGAGTGGAAGTGGGGTAGAAATTTGTTGGAAAGTATTCTCAATTTGAATAATGTTAATGGAAGTTTAGGACCTTTAAAGTTCACGAAATTTGGTTATCATTATCTGACCAATTTTGATATAAAAAATCTTCAAGTCAAAGGTTTCGTTAAAGTAAGCAATTTATAATTTTCAAAGTACTTTTGATAATGTTAACATGTACCTAATATTTTCACTGCAATGCGTAGGTAGGAAAATGGTTAGAAAACGAAAAAAAATTGAAAATTAATTCAGAAATCATATTTCCTGGGCAAACTTCAATACCTCCTAATGATTCTCATCGAAATCTTTACGGAAGAACACTTAATATTGGAATAATTATAGTAAGATCAGCATCATATATTGACGTATTTTATAACAGATAAATAAAATATGTCAAAAAAAGTTTCTCACCCTTGCAATGCTGAGTGAAAAGTTCTGAATAACTCTTGTTGCAAGCAAGAAAAAAACTGTTGAAATTAAGAAAATTATATTAAGTTATAAAAAAAAAATCTGTCAGTTATCTGGGACTAGGACAGTTATCCAATTATTAATAGTGTTCGTTTGTACACTATTGGAGATATTGTATAAAAACTGTAAAACTAACGAATTTGTCAAACTGTAGACGTTCAAGGGAAATGTCAGTTTGTGAGGACAGAAAAACTGTTACGAGAAGTTACTGTTACATTTATCAATTCCAAACTAAACAATATTTTATTAACAGATCAACAATTGATCAAACTATCAGAAATTGATTGCATAGTTATGGTCTATCAAGTTGTCATACTAGAAAAACTCATTGTTGTCTAAACTCCATATAAAGGAATGCCTATAATGGACTAAGAAATACAATAACTTCACTGTGAATGACAGGAAACTACTTTCTGGTCAGATACGATCAAAATAAGTCTATTTGAATCAAATAATATTGTCAGAGTTTGGAAAAACATTCTACTCCTAAAAAATATAAAAGAAAAACGTCAAAATTGTTAAACTTCAAGGGCATAGCACACAATTGATAACATTATAACTGGAAGATTAGCGAAATCCATCATAATAAGATGTGATACAGTCCTTAAGAATAAGAAAAATTGCATAAAGTATTAAATCTATAGTGCTTTATTCGCTTGAAACCCTAAAACAAGAGAAAAACATATTGAGACATGATTTTGTAGTTCTTAAAAAACTTCGTCTAATTTAAATGATAAAGCATTAGAAAAATGTTTATTATTATCTTTTAATCTTTAAACGACTAAAGAATTGTTTTCAATTATAAGATATTTAAGGTTTATCACAAAACATTGCAAGGACGGGAAACGTTTTTTGACAAACTATATATTAAACAACAGATATTATTTAATTATTACTTCATTTGAATTTATTTCTCTAGGCTGAGCCTTTCACAATGAAAAATTCGTATTATAAAGAAGGCGATCCTATAACTTCCAAATATGAAGGATTACTCATAGATCTTCTTTTAAAATTACAAGAAATGCACGATTTTAAATTTAAATTTTACGAAATTGAACAATATGGAAATGAAAATGATGAAACAAAAGAATGGAATGGGTTAGTTAGACAGTTAATGGATAAGGTATATATAAAAAATTTCTTTATCACTGGTGTGATATGTCCTTATTCCCACCTCACATTAGTAGGTTTTTAATTAATTTAATTAAACCATGGGATATAAAAAATTTCTTTATATTAATTAATACTCTATACCCGTGGTCCTCAATCTTTTTGAAGTCCACTAAACATTGACATTTTTTCCACGGAACACTTAAAATACATTAGCTTTAAAGAAGGGTGGCAAACCTTTTCGAAATCAAAAGCGCACTCGGTCTAGTATATGACGAAATTGGCATTTGTTGATTACATTACCATACAAAATTTATTTAACATTGTACTCATTTTTCTTTTTCAACAATTTTTAATTGTATATTTGATATTTTCACGGAACATTTAAGTGGCTTCACGGAGCACTCGTGTTCCGTAGACCACGGATTGAGAACCACGGCTCTATACTACAGTTTAATCCTGCACGGAGATTTAAAGAACATTTTGTATGTTTAGAAAATAGATTTGGCCCTAGCTCCCTTGACGATATCTTGGAAAAGACAAGAAGTTATCTCCTTTACAGCTCCTTACTACGATTTAGGTTTGGCTATATTAATGCCAAAATATAATAAAAAAACTAACGAAAATTATTTTGCGTTTTTATCACCTTTCGAAACAACAGTGTGGCTTACCATTGCTGTGTCGGTGATTTTTACTTCCCTCGTGCTCGCAATATGTGTAAATTTAACACCAAATAATTTTAAAAATAGAAGAAAGGAAATAAGAAAAACAAATCAAAGCGTTAGAGATTCTTCTTGGGTCACTTTTCCACAAGCACTTTGGTGGAGCTTCTCGTCGCTTGTATCCCCGGTAGGTGACCAATTATTTGTTTTTAACAACTATACAGTAGATCCCCCTATAAGACGGTAGATACGTTCCGTTCTTTATGAATCAATTTTGTAGGAATCATAGTTTACGGACTACGGCTGTTTGAAAGGTTTTCTTTCATAAAATTAATCGATTCTAGACTAATTCGACTCAACATTTCCAAAATACGTATATTTTTTTGAAAATAATCCGTATAAACTACGTTATAAACAAAAAATTGTAGGATTGCTTACCGAGTGTGTACCGTTCGACTACGCCCGTTGCTAAAGCTTGGTTTCGTCGCGGAACAGCGCATCAAACCGCGGCCGCGATTTCTGATATTATTTTTCTGCGAAAACTTCGTTGACCTTTGGAGACATCCTTAATATAAATAATTTTTATGGCCGTTAAATAAGAAATGTTTCTTTCACAAGAAATGTATAAAATTACAGTACTGGACAGACGATAGGTCGCCTAACTCGCCGTAGCGTGACGCTAGACGGCGAAAAATATATATTTAATTATAATAAAGTTACAATAAATTAAGTTAATATATAATTATATATACAGTACCTAATTTATATATAATTAATATATAATTATATGTACAGTACCTAATTTATATATAATTATATGAACAGACGATACTAAACTCAATTTATCCGCCTAAACGTCCGTAGCGTGGCGCTACGGACGGCGGGTAAGTAGTTCGGCTGCCCGATGACGTTTTACGTATTATAGGAGTTATTTTTACCGTTGTTTACGGATAATGCCACAATTTTTATAGGAATCATAACTATAGGAAACGCTTTTATAGGGGGATCTACTGTATTTATATAATGAAAAACTTAATTAATTGATACATATTTAGGGAACAGAATTTGAACAGAAAAACAATCTTCCCGCAAGAATTATAATGGTGACTTGGTGGTTAACTACGGTTATTCTTATTGCTGCATATACAGCAAAATTGGCAGCATTTATGACAGTCCAGAATATGAAACAAGGTATTAAAATCATTTAACTAAATAGTTTAAAACAAATTTTTTTCATAAATACTCTATTTTTAGAAATTAATTCTTTGGAAGATTTAGTGAAATTGAATACAATTTCATTTGGAACTCTGAAAGATTCTTATGTTGAAAACTTCTTCGCCAACAGTCACTATGAAATGCATAAAATAGCTTACAAAATGATGAAAAATTATAATACGTTCATAAACGATACTCTCGAGGGCATAGAAAGAGTTAGAGCATCGTATTATTTACCAGAAGGTACTATATAGGTCTAACAATGTTCTTAATTAAAAATGATGCATGCATTGCCTAATAGCATAAATTTAGTCAAACAATAAAGAAACTTGTTGCTGCAATAAAAAATAATTGAACTGTCTTTATAATATTTCAGGTCACAAAGATCGTTTTGCTCTTATTTCTGATTCTCCACTTGTGGATTACGCTGCTATGCAAAGGCCATGCAATGTCGAACGAGTTGGAAGACTTTTTGGATTAGTAAATTATTTAAAACACTAGTAATATTTAACATTTTAGCATAAGACAATATTAATGTTATCCTTTATTCTTGCTATTGTTTTTACCAAAACAATATATTACAGTACTGAAAAGGACGAGTCTAAAAAAATAATTGAAATATCCTATATCATTTCTATAAATATGTACTGTACCGGTACTTTCTGCTTATAATCTTTTCATTTTAACAGCAAAATTACGGATTTGGTTTGCCGAAAGGTTCCCCATTCGAGAAACTATTTACATCATCTATTTTAAAGCTAAGAGAAGATGGTTATATGGATCTTTTGAATAAAAGATGGTTTATTAATAATTGTCCAGGTAATATATAAAATTATTATAAAACGATGTAAATGTTTACAAAAATTTAACGTTTTTAAATTTCAGATAATATAATAGGAAGCGAAGAACATCAAATGGATATTAAAAATTTATCTGGTGTTTTTCTGTGTTATTTGGGAGGTCTAACTGCGGCACTTTTGTTCGTAGCTGTTCTGTGGATAAGAGAAATAACCAAGAGCAAGAAGAAAGTAGCTGTTTCAAGTAATGTAAATATTATATATAATATTGGATAGAAGTATCTGTAAACAATTATACACAATAAAAAAATTTTTTTTTATTAGCCAGATCGTAGTTTTATATCGTAAGAGGACTCTTGTGGATGAATATCCTTCACTTTCCTTTTTGAAAAGATCAGCATTAAATAAGAAGAATATAAAAATATTTTCTGAATGAATTCAGTACTAAAGATTTAAAAAATTGTAGTTGTTCTAATGAAATATATTTTTATCGTACAAACAAAAAGAAAAGAAGAAAATAATAGAAAGTACTATACAATTTTCAATATGAGAAAATATGCAACTAATATTCATCACTTGATTTATGTCTCTGATTTTGTATACTGCGCCTGTTTTTACTGACTCCGTCAACATCATTACCAGCAGACAACAAGGAGTATTCTGCTGATCATTTGAAAAATGTTTATGCAATCAAATATGACAATGCTATGCCATTTTATTTGTGTGTTATACTTTTTGAAGATAAGTGTTTGCAATTCGGAGTTGTTCGATAAAGCTGTTATATTCGATTTCTCCCTCTTGGAAAAGCCAATTACTACCTACAAAGCTCCGTACATGTAGAGAAAGCGAGAAAGCAGACAAAAAGTGCATGAGTGAAACGACTAGATAATATAAGACAAATGTGTTTTGAAGACAAACTTATTTTTAAGTTACACTTAGGTGTTGCCGTTGTATTCTACAACAGTTTAACTAGATAAACTTTAATTTATATCATTTAAATGTCACAAACGTCTACAATAATAATTTTTAGTATATTAAGTGTTTATCATGATATTTTCCCAGCTAGACTGTATTCATATAAAACTATTGTGATTTCTATTTGAGTATGCGATTGCATACTCAAAGATTATCCAAACTCTGCATCAACCCTAGTAAACTGATTACCAAGTCAATTACCCAACATACTCTCTAATGTCAATTGTAACCAACAATCAACCATTCTAAGGACTGAAGAGGGGTCATTAAGACCCGAAATGCATTTCCTTTAATAAATCAACTGTTCCTTGTGTTATGTGTTACTGAAGAAAGAAAACCAGTAGTTTTTAATTCTTTAAAGTCTACATTTTTGTAACCAGTAACCAGTAACCTAATTAAAAACCAGTAACGGAAACCTAATTAAAAATATTGTCATTTAAACTTACTTAAAGGTCGAGGGGATGGGGAGATAGTGGGGATTCGTAGGTCATATTCTGTGTGTTCATAGCCTATATAAATAAATAAAATACTGTCTACTAATTCTTCTTCACTCATAAATGCATATGCCGATTATATTAAACTTGCCAATAGCTATCATCTTTTATTACAACCGATATTAATAAAGTGACTACTGTACTTAAGAAGTTATGTTTACAAATAAACTCTAGCAAGACTAAAATAATGATCTATAGCCTGGTAAGTGCACCAAGTTGCAATACCTTTTTTTAATTGATAATCGAAGATTGGAAATAGTTGACAGAGTTCAGGATTTAGATATACAGGTATACCTCGCCTTACGTCTGTAATTGGTTCCAGGAGAGGCGACGTAAGTCGAATTTACTTGTTTCCGAATCTACTTGTCACTAGGCTAAACCATAAATTACCATTCCCGGTTCTGTATTTTATTTATTAATGCATTTTTAATAATATATGGTTAATAAGGATCTATTTTAAGCTTACAAACAAATAAATGTTAGTTTTTAATATAGTACAGAAAAAAGTAATCTAAATTTACGAATGCATGTACTTTAAATACATTACATACTTGTAAATGTACAGTATATATTTTAATTAATATGATTTTATGTGCTTTAAACGCTTTTCTATTGATATTAAGACTTCAATATTTGTGGCGGACAGACGTAAAATCGAACAAAATGACTTAAACTTGATTTTTATTTTTCCATATACTTTTTTGACAAACGACGTATAATTGGGAACGACTTAACTCGAAACGACTTAAGTCGAGGTATACCTGTAATATTTGATTCAAAACTCTCTTTCAAACCGCATATAGACAATTTAATTAAACAGTTTTCTACTCGTAGAGGAATGCTTTGGCGAAATATTAGAATAATTTTTCAGTAAAAACACCCATTATATTTAGAAAACGAAGTAATCATTTAATGGAAAACGATAATTTTATCAAAATCGACCCATCAGATTTTGAGAACGAACGTAATTCTGTAAGACACGCAGAACGGACTTCTTTAACGCTCCGTCTTAATTATAATGTTTTATTAAATAGAAAAAAAAACAATTAAAACATACTTACTTTTAATATTTAAGTCCAATTGTAATACTCCGAAAAGACTCGCTAATGTTGAGATTGAAAACATCAAACAGCTATTCAAATTTTATTGATCATAAAAAATATACAGAAAATATATTCTTTTATAGCTATAAATGTGTATTACATGAATTGATAAAATCATCAAGTATGTTAATTATACGAAAAGTAAATAAATGTAATCTTAATAAAAATTATCTACATTTCCAGAATAATTAGTTGTTTCTTTAGATAAAAAGGTGTCTTTCGCCAAGACGTGATAATACATTTGTTAACCAATAAAGTTCATTTAAATATTCATATAATATTAATACAATAAAAATGAATGTTTTTGGAGAAAAGTAAAAAAACAAATATAGAAGAATTTGATATTAGGTAATAAATATTCGTTTTTTTTCCTTTGTATTTGAGATATTTATATTATTTTTCTTAATAAATAGTGCTTCAATTTTTAAATTTGACAATAACACAGTATATGTTATTTGTCAATTGGCCAACGACAAAAAGGGACAGTGCCCCGACTGCCCCAATGTATGGGCGCCCTTGCACTCAACTAACTATATCTAAGTTCAACTTTAACTTATTTTAATAGGTTTTAAGATATTACATTGAATGAATAAATATTAATTTTTATAACTAAAAGAAACTTATTGATCTTTTAATTTTGTTTTTATTAAATTAAGTGATGCATAAATTTTAAAAATTATAACTTTATGTTAAATTATAAACATAGTTTTTATAACAAAATTATTACTCTAAAATATTATGTTTAGAAACTCTTTATATATAAAAAAAGAATTCATACATTTTAGTTGATTAAAAAAGCATTGCGTGATAAAAATTTTATAATAAGATAAACTATACAAAATAAATATTTCATACATTAACAAGTTTATTGATAAACCGGAAGTATACTTAGTTTTAAATATAAAAATGATCGATTTTCGAGTTGTTTAATTCTCCTCAAATTCATAATTTATTTACTTGATAAGTTTATATTACAAATTACGTGAAATATTAAACTTCATTCTGTAGTTTAATAAATTACTCGCGAATTTTTTCAAAGATTACCATATAAATTACACAATATTGATATATACTCAGAAAAATCTTATAAAGTCAATACATGTGTGTATAGGTAACCTACATATAAAAAAAATTAAAACTAAAAATAAAAATAAATAAATAAATAAATATAACGTTTCTTATATAATTGTGTACATTAATATCAAGAGTGATGTTATAGTAAAAAGTTTAATAATAAATACGAGATTGATTTATAAATTTTTCAAGGCTCACGAAACTACTTCGTCAGCAGCTACACAGTTTATCGATGTTTAATGCTGGGTTACTATGCACGATTTCTGTACAAGTTTTATACCGTTAAATGGTGTAGAAAGTACACGTGCTTCTAATTAGATGTGAAATTAATTAAATATGAGAAGATCTGGATTGTTACTACTAGTCTCATTCTATTCTGCTGTTAGTAATATACCAAATGAAGTTGCCATTGGTAAGATCGTAAAATATAAGTTTGGTTTAATTTTCTGAACGAATTAACTTTAGCTGTTTTAATAACGAAACATATAAATAATGATATAGATAATCCGATAGAAAGTATTATAATAGCAGTCTACTTACTAATTTCGATTTATCCTGTTATAGATTTTCTTTCATATTTATACTATATTTACCTTTCAGGTGCTATTTTTCCGTCTTATCTTCCTGTATTAGAAGAAACATTTCGTTTAGCTATAAACAATATAAATTCAGATTCGAATTTATTACCCAATACGAAACTGATTCCGATTACAGAGAATGCTTCTACACAATTTGAAGTTATTAGAGCCGGTAAATTTATACTAGTTATATTAAAATTATTCTAGTTAAATTAAATACAGATACAATTTTTCAGCGTGCAACTTAGTGGATAAACGAGTGATATCGATAGTCGGACCTCTAACGTCTTTACATTCAAAAATTGCCCAAAATGTGTGTGGCCAATTGGGAATACCGCAAATTAGTATCTTGGCAACAGACCCAATGTTATCTTTAATACCGATTTTGAACCAATCGTCGTCTACACTTCTGAAAATGTCACCGCCGGATACCTTTCAGAATCACGCCTTAATACATATCTTGAAATATTATGGATGGGATGCTTTTGCCATTTTAACAGAAGATAACGAACCAGGCGAGTTTTTATTCTTGTTCTGTGCTTAATAATGCCGTAAACTTTATTTTTTATTCTTTATCCATAATTAATTGTTAACTGATTCATGAATAAAATTTAATTAATTATGTATTTATTTGTAGTTTTGGAATTAAAATTAATAGTTATATTTTATTGTTAAAGTAATTTATATTGCGTTATAATGTATAAATAAGTAAAATTTAATGTGTTTCAGAATAAAACTAACCTGTAATATTTGTACAGTTAGGCACATGTAGCAATAATTTTGTGATTTAAAATTTATGTAGTTATCTTAGATAGCCTCGTTTAACAATTCCTTTTACATTTTTAAATCATAAATATCATTTTATAAATATAAACGAAGAAATTCATCATAATTTTCATATTAAGATTTGAAAATTAAGAACACGTTTCTCAACAGTCAAAAATGATAATTTTTTTCGTTTTAGAGAAATAGTTAACTTACAACGAGCAATTATTACATGTGACTTCGTCACAATGCCAGTCTGCAATTTTTCTCAACAATGTTGTCAATTTTTAGTAGGTCTTGCCCCTGTACTGTACGTCATACTTTTTCTTGTAGTGCTAGTTATATATCTAACACCGTTTGGAGAAAAACTTTTGAATTAAAAAAACGTGACTTCCGGTACAAACCGGAAATTTGTACATAGTTAATTTGGATTTCCTTCTCTTAAGCTTTCCATATCTGTCTCGACTTTCATGTATCTAACTCCTTTCTCGAGATTAATAAAGTATAGACAGATAAACGGACGGACAGACGACCAGAAGACAGTGGAAATTTATTGGTCCACATATTTTTTTTGAAATTTTCTTAAAGTGCAAAACACAGGGTAATAATAATTAGATTTATCCACTTTTAATTAAATTGATATTGTAGACTATATATAAATTATTAAACATTTTTTGTTGTTTAAAATATTGAATAGAATCTATCNAATAAAACTAATCTGTATAGTTTTTCAATTATACCTGTATAATTTCTCAAATAAAATTTTTCCCCTTAAAAATTTATTTAAAGTAAAATGGGACTATAAAAGTTTACAACTAGAAAATTTAATATTTGCTAATGGAAAAACAAGACAACGTTTAAAGTAAATGCATATCTAAAGTAAAGTAATAATGATTGTTTCCTTGTTGCGTGTTGTCTCTACTTCAAACTTTCGAAAAGTTAAATCTGTAAGTTTTAGAACGTTTAGTTATTCAATTAGAAAACCCTGAACTTGTACCAGACATTCAGGTTAATATCAAAATATCCTCTGGGTGTTAGATTTAAAACCAACAGAGTAAATTGAATTTGAGATTTAAATAACTGTTAGCGAATATATTAAGAATAGTATAAACAGTCCATGACTGGAGTCGACTGGATGCAATCAATAAATTTCGAACCTATTTTTATAAAAGCGTGACATTATGTTTACATAAATACATATAAATTTTGATCTAACACCTGATCAATAAACAACAGGCCTAAAAGCACACATTTGGAACAGAATTCTGCCTGTCGTAGGCAACTTGGCTATGTATATTGATTAGAATTGCATTTTTACTGTTCATAGTAGTGCACTTGTACGATTATTATTTCATTTATATAAATTTATATATGTTTTATACAGTTAAATCATATGCTATATATTTATTTATTTTATACTAAATATTTTGCAGTTTAAGTTTTTGATAAGTAAAACTATTTTGCCAAGTAAAAAATCATGACAATTTAAATGATAGTGAAATTTCTTTCTTAATATTGTTTGAATTCAACTGAGTACTTGTAGTAAATTATACGTGGGTTATCATATCAATGAAAGTTAATTTAATTATAATAATTTAATGTTATAATTTTTAAAACACATAAATTGACTAATTAAAATTATTTATTAAGCTATTCATGCAACAATGGAATTGCAAAGACTAGCTACGAAATACGAAATTACGCTGAATTCTATTCAGCGATTTCCTTTGTCCGACTCAAAATCTTTCGATATAACACCACAATTAAATGCCATTAAGGTAAGCATTAAATTTGGTATTTATAAATTACAAAGCTTCAATATCTGGTATAGAATTGTTTATTATTATAAAAATGCAAGTGTGAATTAATCCAGTAGTTTTCAATCGGAAACCACGAAATATAGTGTTGAGCAGAGCCATAACAATTGTATTATTATAACTGTGAAAAGCCTAACAACACTCCATCTGTAAATAATAAGCGTATGGTGCCGCAAGAAATAAATTGTCAAGTTGAAGGTGCCAATATTAGAATAAAGTAAAAAAACACTGGATTAATATAATACAGTAAAACCTGTTCAAAACAAAACCTTGATAAAATGGAAATTTACCTAAATGGGAGAAATTATTAAACACAAAGCTATTTTCTACGATAAAATACTTTACTAAACGAAAAAATATTCGGTAACATACGAGTCCAGTTTACGCAGGTTTCATGTAATTGATTATATTCATTTTAAAACTCTTAGCATAAGTTAAAATTAATATCAAAATTTATCACAAGTGAATTTTTATAACACTTTTATTCTGATAAGGAAAAGGACGTCAGAATAATAATTCTTTACTGTTCAATAACGATAAGTAAAACTGTTATAAAGCAAGCTGAACGCATGAACATGTTTCGTTCTGGATGGACCTGGCTCGTCATGGATAGCATTACATCACACGTAAGTCTATATCTTTTAATTTTATAACTTACATAACATTGCAGAAAGACTTTAAGTCACTTATTATTTTATATTATTATATTAAATTTTAATAAAATAACTCTCCTAATTAACAATTAATCTTTGTTGGCAGGATTTGAAATACTTATCAGACGATGACGGATATGTACCATCTTCTTTAGTTGGATTCATAGGAACGGCATTTGTGGTTCCTGATACCATTTTGTATTTAAAATTAGTAAATCAATTTAAAAAGAATAATTTGGGAAATCATATACAGAATCAGGTAAATTAACCATTGACATTGTTTCACTATTTAAATGTCCATATTTATGAAATAATGAAAATTATTTTTCAGCAAGCTTTCACTCGTGTTTATGATGCAGTGTTAGCAATTGCCAATGGACTTCACAGAATTCTTTACGGAGAGAAAGTTTCTTTCGAACTTCCTACTTCCCAAAAAGGAAGTTGCGCAAATTCTATCGATAAGTGGAAGTGGGGTAAAAATTTGTTGGAAAGTATTCTCAATTTGAATAATGTTAATGGAAGTTTAGGACCTTTAAAGTTCACGAAATTTGGTTATCACCATCTCACCAATTTTGATATAAAAAACCTTCAAGTCAAAGGTTTCGTTAAAGTAAGCTACTTCTAATTTTCAAGTTTATTTCATATTCTTAACATGTAACTAATATTTTAATTGAAAATTTTAGGTAGGAAAATGGTTAGGAAACGAAAAAGACTTAAAGATTAATTCAGAAATTATATTTCCTGGCCAAACTACAATTCCTCCTACTAATTCTCATCAAAGTCTTTCCGGAAAAACTCTTAATATTGGAATAATTATAGTAAGAGGCAATGGATTATTATTATTATTATCATTATCATCATTTATTATCTTATTTTATAATCTAAATATATAAAATTGCTTGTCCTGACTGACTGACTGAATGACTCACTCACTGATTCATCATCGACCAGAGCAGACCGCTTAATCCAAAGAGGTGAAATTTGTTAGATAGTTAGGGTTCGTCATGGAAACGCTCACTAAGAAGGGATTTTTCGAAATTCCCCCGCGGGGGGGAGGGGGAGGACTAAGGCTTAATCGAAACAACGGCTTTTACTGCACTATTTTAGATGCGATTTTTTGTTTTTATCTGCGTTTTAGTAGGGTATGCCATGGCAATGCACACTAAGAAGGGATTTTTCAAAATTCCCCCGCGGGGGAGAGGGAGAGGATTTAGTCTTCATCGAGTACTTAGGTGTATTAAATTAATAACATTTCAGACATTGTTATAAATATTTTTATCTATTTCGATTTTAAAAATGTTCGAACCATTTTAAATTCGAATTTGTTATTGCATATTGGTTCGATTATAGAACGATTGTAAACGTTCCAGAAAATTGATCAAATTGAAAATAGTTAATATGATTCTCGGCAATTCTCATCATTCTCAGCAGTAAGGTGTTATATAACAATTACTATGGTTGTTGAAATACTGAATATAAATGAGATTTGCTTGCAAAATCCGCGCGAGCAAAGCCCCGAGTAACAGCTAGTAGATACATATATTCATTAACAGAGATTATTTAATTATTAGTTAATTTACGTACATTTTTCCAGGAAGTGCCCTTTATCATGAAAAACCCTTATTATCGAAATGGCGATCCTATAACTTCTAAGTACGAAGGATTACTTATAGATCTTCTTATAAAGTTACAAGAAATGCTTAACTTTAAATTTAAATTATACGAAATTGAGCAATATGGAAATGAAAATCCCGAAACAAAAGAATGGAACGGATTAGTTAGACAATTAATGGATAAGGTACAGATAAAAAATTGTTCTCTATTAATAAACTTCTAATATTAATATTCTATTAATATTAATTCCTGAATAAACTTCTGTCGTAGTTTATTCACGAATTAAGATTTATAAAATATTTCGTATGTGTAGAAAATAGATTTGGCCCTTGCTACCTTGACGATATCTTGGAAAAGACAAGAAGTCATCTCCTTTACAGCTCCTTACTACGATTTAGGTTTGGCTATATTAATGCCAAAATATAATGCTAAAACTACTGAAAATTATTTTGCATTTTTATCACCTTTTGAAACAACAGTGTGGCTTACTATTGCTGTGTCGGTGATTTTTACTTCTCTAGTGCTCGCTATATGTGTAAATTTAACACCAAGTAATTTTAACAACAGTAGAAAGGAGATAAGGAAAACAAATCAAAGCGTTAGAGATTCTTCTTGGATCACTTTTCCACAAGCACTTTGGTGGAGCTTCTCGTCGCTTGTAGCCCCGGTAGGTGACCAATTATTTGTTGTTAACGACTTTATTTGTATAATGAAAAATTTAATTAATTGATATATATTTAGGGAACAGAATTTGAACAAAAAAACAATCTTCCGGCAAGAATTGTAATGGTGACTTGGTGGTTAACTACAGTTATTCTTATTGCTGCATATACAGCAAAATTAGCAGCATTTATGACGGTCCAGAATATGAAACAAGGTAATAAAATTATTAATTACAGTAAATACTTTAAAACGAATTTTTTCATAAATACTCTGTTTTTAGAAATTAATTCTCTGGAAGATTTAGTGAAATTCGATACAATTCCATTCGGAACTCTAAAAGATTCTTATGTTGAGAACTTCTTCGCCAATAGTCACTACGAAATGCATAAAATAGCTTACAAAATGATGAGAAAGCAAAATACATTCAAAAACGAAACTGCTGTGGGCATAGAGAGAGTTAGAGCATCGTATTATTTGCCAGAAGGTAGTAGAAAATAACATTAATAATATACCAGAACAAAAAAATAATAGATAAGTTATTTAATTATATTAACTTATTCAAAAAATAACGTACTGTACATCTTGTTGTTGCAGTAAGTAAATAAGCTGTGTTTAATATTTCAGGTCACAAGAATCGTTTCGCTTTTATACATGATTCTCCAGTTGTAGATTACACTGCAATGCAAAGGCCGTGCAATGTCGAACGAATTGGAAGACTTTTCGGATTAGTAAATTAGTTATAACATTAATAATAACGAATGATGAACAGTAAAAGTGTAACATTAATGTTGTCTTGTGTTAAAATACACAAGACAGAGTTATTGTTACTCTTTTATTCTTATTATTACGAAAACATATTACAGTATTGATATGGATAAATGTTTTTAAAACAATTATTTCTATGAATATGTGCTGTATCTTCTGCTTATAATATTTTTATTTTAACAGCAAAATTACGGTATTGGTTTGCCGAAAGGTTCCCCATTCGAGAAACTATTTACATCATCTATTTTGAAGCTAAGAGAAGAAGGATATATGGATTTTTTGAATAAAAGATGGTTTATCAATAATTGTCCAGGTAATATGTAAAATTATCTCCAAACGGAGTGCTAGGTTACTAAAATTTAACGTTTTTAAATTTCAGATAATAGAGTAGGAAGCGGGGAACATCAAATGGATATTAAAAATTTAGCTGGCGTGTTTCTATGTTATTTGGGAGGACTCTTCGTTGCACTTCTGATCGTAACTATTCTGTGGATAAGAGAAATGACCAAGAGCGAGAAGAAAGTAGTTGTTTCACCTAATGTAAATATTATATATAATTTTTGTCCAGAAATTTCTGTAAATTATTCTATACAATAAGAAAATTCTGTTTTAACAGCCAAATGGTAGTTATATATCGTAAGAAGCCCTCTCTAGATGATTCATCTTTACTTCGCTGTTCGAAAACATCATCATCTAAATATATAAAATTGCTTGTCCTGACTGACTGACTGAATGACTCACTCACTGATTCATCATCGACCAGAGCAGACCGCTTAACGTAAAGAGGTGAAATTTGTTAGATAGTTAGGGTACGTCATGGAAACGCTCACTAAGAAGGGATTTTTCGAAATTCCCCCGCGGGGGGGAGANGAAATTGTTAATAATCTTTGAATTATTTACATTTTTTGTCGTACAGACATCTGTATTTTCTAACTTCTTCGATGAAGAATTCTAAATCTATTTGTTTCCTCGTCGTTTCGCTAGTAATGGCAGAAAGTGTAGCGACAATCAAACTACTGTACACGACTAATGCACGTGACTACACGTCACAAATGCTTGCGTTTTTATTGGCTGCAATACGACAGAAGCGCGGAACGAAAACGGAAAAGAAATAATTTTTAACTCTGCTTTCAGTCTTGTTTCTGTCCAAATGAACGTTACAAAACTGAAAGTTTCGTCAATTTGGCTTTTAGTTTTACGATTACGTCGCGGATTCCGGTAATGTGGAGTCCAGGCTTAAATGTGTTTTTTTATACAATTAAAAAATTGGGGAAGGGGTTTCAATTATTTTGTTAGCTTAAGGCCTAAAAAATATAAATTTGGCATTGTGTAGACTGAAATTTGCTAAAGTCAGTCAGTCATATTTAAAACTTACAAGAAGATTACACATGATGAAATATGTACATCTGAACGAAACTTTTGCAGTTTTTAGTTGGGACCTCCTGAGTATAGACTTAAATATTAGCTGTAGATGGCTCCGTTCAATAGTGTAATCTGTGTTAAAATTTCCTATCAAACTGTAAGTTAAGCAAACTATCGCTTAGAGTTTCGTGCTTTTAAATTTATTTGAGAGAAGGAGAAGCCTTTATAAATCATAGCTCAAGGCTCAGTAAGGCTAAATACGTGGCTCGTTATCCGATTATAAAACAAAATGTATTAAAATGTAACAACATAAATCATATCTATTAACTAATAATTAATTATATTATGATAATAGATCTATAAACTATTATGTATAGTGAACCGAATTGGCTATACATTTCAATAACAGCAAATATAAAAGCCCTAAGTTGTATCTTCTGAGCTCGAGGCCCTAAACTGTAACCTGTTAAGCTCATGTGCAAATCCGATCCTTTATTGTGGACACCAAAGTGATTACGAATACAGAAAAACTCAAAAATGTTTATTGTGAAATCCTTACTGTCCTTTTAAATTCTAATGTTATTGTTAATTGTCTACTTGGACTTTACTTATTAATAGGACTTAATACTGGTGTTTAAAGATTGACACAGCAATGAAAGTTAGTCAGGAAAGAACAAAATTTCTTTATTATATCACCTGTAGTAATAGTTTCTGTACTGTACACATATTACACGTGTTTCGGGCTAGCATGCCATCATCAGCAGTACTACTACCACACATGTAAATACATATTCCAATCCCGAGTATAAATGTATTTTTCTCGTTGTATAATTAATTAATGAGTTAAACATTTCAATCAAGGTTCAATTTTTCACAATTCAACTGTGTTATGTTAACGTAACACAGTTGAATTGTCAATCTTTAAACACCAGTATTAAGTCCTATTAATAAGTAAAGTCCAAGTAGACAATTAACAATAACATCAAAAATGTTTTAAACAGTTTGAAAACTACATCCAGACGTATCGAAGATTCGAAATCTTTAAATTAAATTTAATTAATCATAATTTGCATTGAGAAATTTCTCTTTAAAGACATTAATTTTTCTAATGAATCTCTTATTTCAATAATTATCAATGAAATATAAAAAATTTCTTACCTCCAAGGGTTGAGGCAAGGATCGATAATCGCCAGAATCAAAAAACATTTTCCAATAATTCTCGAAAAAAATTGCACTCTTTGTAATAAAAGAGCAAAACAATTAAAGGTCAATTGTTGAATTTCTTTGTTATGCGTTAAATAAAGAAAAAATAAAATTTTAATAATTAATGTTTGCTTTTTTAATTCTTGAAAATCTGGTGCGTATATAAATAAGGATTTAAGGGATGATGCCAGAGATATTAATGGTGTCATCCTACCTGTCTGGTAGAACCTGGACAAGACTATTTCACATCCTAGACAAAGAAAATTTAGGCACCCCCACACATTATATGTAAGTTATCGTACTTATCAGCGGTTCCTGTCATATATATATATATATAACCATATGTATGTATATAGGACACATATACATACATATATGCATGTATATAAGCCTATACATATGTATATGTAGGTTCTATATGTATATATACTATGGGCGAATTCTCTGGGTTTGCTTAGCATGCGCCTCATGTTTAAGAGAAAGTTTTGACTGTCAATATACTTTTTATATGGAAACAAATATGCCAATAATAATTTATTCTATCGTGTAAACTCTTTTATCATTTGTGTTTGGTTTTATTTACATTGATAGCTATCGGCTAGCCATTTTAAGTCAGTGCGATGTTTGCGGGAACTCGATCGCTTGCTGGTGTCATTCGTAGCATTTAACACGGACATATTGTATCGAAAAAAAAAGTTCTCTTGGTGCTTACAGGATTGAATGAGTCAAAAATAAAAATAAATTAAACATTTCCCGAATATTTTGTGTATTTAGTACAATACGTTAATTATTTACAGGATGGAAAGATTTTTCAACGTCAATCAGGAAGAAGACATCTTTGACGACTAAAAAATAAACTTTGATGCATAATTATTTTATTTCAAACAATTAAATTAACATCTCTTATTCCATCAAACATTTTATAATATAAAATGATAAATAGTCCAGTCTGAATAAAGAATATTTCAAAGAAAGATTTTCAAAATATGCCATTTGACGGCACTCTCACAAGAGAGTACAAACAAGTGTTTAATTGTCATCGTCGCAGTGAGAGTTAAAGGTCCACTATTAATAATAGTCAAATAGTCCATGATTGCCAGGAATTTTAGTAACATGTTAGCAAACAGTGCATGCTGGTAACTTCTCCCCTCTTGAGTTTAAAGCGAACAAAGTCCTCAACTATTTATCAGAAAAACGGAATTCAGATTCTATTTGGTCTCCTAAAGCAATATTTATATCCGATTTCATCTACTCCTCTTAAACTCTGCCTTTAGTAAAGTTAACCTTAGAATTAATGTACAAAAATCTGCAATAATGTATTTTTCGTTACTTAGGAATCCTTTCCTACCACTTATAAACTACCCTTTCCTACTTTCCTACTTTCCTACCCTTTTTATAAACACATACGCAAACATTGCAGTACGTCAACCATATAACAATCTGGGAATTATCTTTGACATTAAATTAACTTTTAAAAGCCATATAAACAAAACAGTAAAATTATTCTCGTAGATTTTTAAACGTAAAATAAATTATTTATCCATTTTACGAAGGACTGTAACTGATATAAAAACTGTCCTTACCAAACAGGAACGGGTGGCAACCTTACTTCATATATACCTTTTTTTAAAAATACCGGATATATTTTATAACAGTAAAAGATGCCGATGTTATTTTAATATGTTATTAAAAGTAAAGCTGATGATTACCAAGAAATTCTTAATTAGGCCTATATATGAATCTTGACTCTTATAATTATTTTTCAAGTGATCAAGTAGGTGAAATTTTAATTAATTAATAAATTGTCACAAAACATTAAGACAAATGTAGACCATCACAGATGCTATCTGAAAGGTTATCATTCTGTATGAACTTGCGCGTTTGATGATGGCAAAATTATTTATCTACTGGATGTATGTTAGGGAATACTAAACTAAAGCAAGTGTCGATATAGAAAACTGTGTATGAACTGGCAACAACCTGTGTAAGACCGCTCGAAACAAGAAAAGACCTGTTGTTTCGATATGCGCCAAGTTATGGACGTGTGAGCAAGTGCATGTATAGTATTAGATTAGAATAAAATTTAATTCTAAGTTAAAGGACTGCCTCAACATTGTTCTAACAATGTACAGTACATGAATAGCTGGTTACCCATTTTGTTCTTAAGTTTTCATCATGTGTAAATAAATGTAACTGGAACGGTTAAATATATAGACAGTCTCGGTGCATCATGTTTTCTATACATCGCATACAGTTTCAAACCGCTTATAAAGAACCCTCTGGCTGACGGGCAGATGGTCGAGCAGTCAAGATGGCAGCCTACCGCTCAGGGGGATCCGGAATCGAATAATCCCCAGGAATTTTTCGGGGGTGGTACGTCTAGATATGTCGCGCCACGTCCCTCACTACCCGGCCGCCCCATTGTGGGCCTAGCCGAACCCCTGGGCTTGCCAAAAGAGGTCTTCTTAGTATCTACAGGACGAAAAGAATAAAAACTCTCTGGCTAGTATAGCAGCTAACCACTGCACAATATCTACCTGAACTGGCTTTATATGGCATATCGCTAGTGAAAAACTAAATATAGCAGACCTAGACTAACAACTAGCAGTATCTTAATGGCTACCAAGACAAATGTCCTCGTGTGACAGAATTTAAAAACACGTTCTGGAGACTTGTGGATAATTTAACATTCAACCTTTTTTTCAATTTTTAGTAATCGTGCATATCATAATTATGAAATATAATTTATATTATTGATTTGTTATTATTCATTTTTTTCTAGACTCTATATAGAAAACATCCAGCAACGAGTTGCTTAACTTTCCCGGCAAGATTTAACACTACGTGTGTGGCGCTATCTTTTACGTTATTTTATTAAAAACTTTTTATATGTTTAATTATTAATTTTTAGGGTAGGGATGGATTTTATAAAAAATTGTAAACAGAGTTAATAACGAATAAAATCGTCATTAACTCTGACCTTATTAGAGATACACACGACCTCCATTATCTCCTTACCGTCTCGATCTTTAATCACCAAAATTTAATAGCATTAATTCCCCTAATAAGCAAATATCTCTGCAAAATTTCGGAAATTTTCGGGGCAAAAAGCACAGAAGTTATTTAGTTTCAAAGAGGGTAAACAAAATATGTCACACACACATACATATCCTTACATACAGAAAAAAAACCCTCGGTATTTTTTTTGCCATACTTTCCCTCTGTTA